CCCCCCCCCCCCCCCCCCCCCCCCCCTGTCTTGCGTCTTCAGCCTTGTCAGCGAACGGCCGTGTACTTGCTAGACGTGGCGTCACCCCGCTTCGTGTGCCCGCGTTCTTCCCATCCTTTTGCCACGTTAGGAGCACCTTCTACCAAAAGAGAAACGTTCGAGCTGATCATGGGCATCGAAATTGACATTTCCACCCGGCAAAGCACGTGTTTCCCTGGAGATGTGATTCAAGGCACCGTGCGCCTGAACGTGACCGCGGTGAGTGGTCGTCTCTGCTTCCTCGGTACCATCTCTTCCCTGATTGTTGGGGTTGTAACTGCGAGGTGTGTTGAAAGCCCGGATTCGGAAAGAGATAGACATGATCGATTACAGACCTTCCGGGTTTGGATGAATCGGAACCGAGTTGGGGAAAGGCGGTCTGTACTTCATTGATTCATCTCTGTCCTTAGGGCACATGGGGGCATTTGGATTCAGTGTTCGACAGATTCGACTCTTCAATTCTCAAAAGTAAAGCACAAATCGGGATTCGGTTTCTTCCAGAAGACAGACCACCTTTCAGTCGTTTCACATGAGAGCTCTTGTCCGAAATTGGAATATTCGAACTCTTCGCAGTTTCGAAAAGCTGCAGGTGAATTGCTGTACACCAGTAATTTGGTTTCGGAAATCATGGCAACACACCTCCGCCCTTACCGACGTTCTAGGCCACCGCCCAAGGCGCAACCAGCATATCACGGTGGAGATACCCAGCGAGAGAGTATGGAAGTATCGTGTGGGTCCCTATGTGCCACCTCTCATTTGCTTGCATGCCTTATAGCCCATGGAGTGCACGCTATCGTAAAATGTTTTGTCATGATATCCCCCAAATGAGGGAAGAATTGTCAGAACGTAGGTTCCACGAACTTTGTACGAAACGAAGTTTAAAGCAAGCCCCCAAACTCCAGTAGCTGCGTTTGTAGTGCGGCTCTTCCCGGCAGTAACACAAAGAAAGGCGACTTTTTCACCACCTTTCCGCAGCTCGGATGCCTTACACAGCTCGTGGGATCGGTTTGCTCTGCTCGGGTTCCTCACGAAAGGGAGGGGATTCTCCAACGGCTTGATTCCATTGATCTACCCTGGACGCCACTTTTTTTTTGCAACCAACCCCCGAGCCAGTAGAAGAGTGGAAGCGGAACTATCGACGAGAATCACAAGGAAGCTTTTACGCCACTTCTCAGCAGCTTGGTTGGTTTACAGCTTGTGGGCTGGCTATTGCCGTGAAGTATTTCGCACGGACTCACAATGTGTTTCTTTCGGTTTGCACCCGCGCGGTCCCATCCTTGCCGCGTAGAGACGTATATCACTAGCGCAAGGCTCCATGGAGCTTTTTCTGATCGACATGGCCATGGAGTGAGCCTAGAGAGCAAAAATATCCCAATAAACACCCATCCACCAGTGACATGAGCTCAGACGGGTCTCTATATCGGAGTTTTACATTTCTAAATTTAATGTGGCCATCATTTCAACATGGTGATTTTCGAAATATACACGCCTCGTTCTCCGCGTAAAGAGAGGGGGAAAGTTCGAAATTCCTTCGAAATTTCCGAAGATAAGCATGGACTTCGTTTTGAGACCACGACCTCAACCCAGTGATTATTGTCCAAAGATAGTCGGCGCAAAGAAAACGTAGGCTCCAATTCCGTAGATATTCGTACCTCTACCCGTTCGGGCAAAACACACACCAGGTGCATTGCTGCGAATTCATTGCACGCTTCACACTTGCTGCCACGGACAACAGGCTGCCTTGACATTTGTACCTTTAACTATTGTCTCTGTTGTCCTAACAGTGGCCACCGGTCATTGTTCTATACGGAAACAGGGCAGGCCAAAGCTCTAGCTATTGCTGTGCTGCTCAGATACCTGTTCTAAATCTGCCCCCCACGTGCGCACCTGCCAGAAGGATGCCGGATCGCCAGCGGGTTCGCTCGTGATACGGTTAGTCGGCCTGGCGAAGACTCGCGCCATGTTCACAGCGACGGGAGTAGTCCCCACCGAAAGTGGCGCGGCTCCGTACACCTACCGTGACACGCTGAGCGAGGATGTCGAGTTCCTCGGGTACGACGTCCAGCTAGCAGATTTCGGTGGAAGGGCGGCCTCGGGAGAACACACCTACGACTTCTCCGTGACGCTCCCTCCGAGCTTGCCGGCGTCAATGAAGGTGTGACGCAGAAGATCGAGTAACACGTCAACAATATCTCCGTCCGTCTTGTGCGTTTTTTTATGGCTCTAGCGGCGCCCCATGCTTCACCAGGAGTCCTTCGCAAACCGGGTCTTGGTAGTGTTTCGATCCGCGATAACTGCTTCAGTCAACCACGTGTGAGGCATGTCGGTTACGAACCTTTGCAGGAACAAGGTGGGGGGGGGAGCTGCGCGATCGCTTACGGGTTCAGAGCACGCCTGCACCGCCCAGGGTTGCTCAACTTCGATGCCAAGGGAAAGGTGCAGCTGAAGGTGTTGGGCAAGCCGCAGGAGACCAGTGCCAGTTCGCCGGTAGTGGCGGGGCCAGAAGTAATGGCCGTGAAGAAGTGCTACTGCTTGCAGAGCGGAAGGTGAGTAGTTGCTCAGTGGTCGTTTCATTGTCAAGGTCATCGTCTCCGTGTCTCGCGCCTTAGCCGGGATGACTCTGAAGCCTCTGCAATAGGCAAGAACTGAAAATCAGTGCAGCCGCGACGGTTGGAGGCGCTGCCCGAGGTGTGCTTTCCTCTGCAATTTGGTGGTGTGTTCGACACCAGTTGCGTCGCTGAGTCTCGGTCGACAATGGACTTGGGTCACCGCCACGCCCGATGGCAGCACGGCGCTCCAACCAACTCGCACGAGTCGTGAGTGGGTCTTGACTTTCCTGCCAGGGAAGATGTTGGTGTAAATCAGAAGTGCTGCCGCCAGCGTCTCCGGATCTCATCCCTCGTGCTTGCGTTCCTCCGCCCCCATCCCTCCGGCACCTTCGCCAGCATGAGCTTGGGCTTCCAGGCTGATCGCTCGGTGGTGGGGCTGAACGAATCGGTGGGTATCACAGTAGTGGCGCGGAACGACAGCTCGGTCGCCGTGAAAAATCTGCGCATCGAGCTCGTACAGGAGACGTCGTGGACCGCCAACGGCGCCGGTGACGTCAGCACGCGTGCCGTGAAATCTGTTGTCGTGCCCGGAGCCGAACTGGGGGCCGTTGAATTCGGAGGCCAGCGAGGACGAAGCGCGGCTGCAATCGCGGACACGGCTCGGGCAGATCTCGAGAGTCAGCTCGCGTCTGGGGCCGGCACTCGCTACGAGCTCACGGTCCCCGCCGACACCTCGATCACCCTGAACTCAGAGACGATTCAGGTTAGGCATGTGTTGACCGTGAGGATCCAGGGACCGCGCTGCGTGGGATGTCCTGACGTTTGGACGCCGTTGCACGTACAGCCCGGAACCTCCGGCGTGGTGCCGAAGGTACACGAGGAGACGAGCTCGCTCGCACCGTCTTCAACCGCCCGGCCCGTGACGGTGACGGTCCCGCCCAGCGCGGTCAAGCTGGCTTACAACCACGAACAGCCGCGAACGTCGGGTGCTGTCGGCAAATACTTCTAGTTGGCACCTTGTTTACAGTTTGATGTCGCGTTGCTGTTTACGTCCGCCGGCTGTGGCGGCGGGTTTGTGACAGCAGCGGTGGTGGGGCTAGCAGCTGGGCAGGTTGTTCCGCGTGAACGTTCTTTTGCATGAACAACGGGGGTCGTGATGGACATCCCGCTGTTCTGTAGTCGCTACTGGCAATGCGCATGGGTTGTCGAAGGAGCACGCGCGAGCCACGCATGGGACAGGGGCGTACAGAGGCACGCCAGTATAGGGTGTTTGGGTGGTAGCTGCAGTGTCGCCGATGCACGCAAACGGAAGCTCCCTGCGATATATAGTCAAATGTCTTTTCTGCGGACCAGAGCGGGACACTCGGGGGAGGGTTGATGTACGGGACCCGGATGGTTGGTTGGACCACCTCATGTTGTGTTTCCGCTGGACTCAAAGGCTTGCAATCTAAGAATAGATGTAGGATGTAGATGCGCCGTCAAAACCGGTGTTCTCACTATCTCGTCCGGAGAGAGCCTTTCGTAAGGTCTTTCACCTCTCGCCGCAATAGACAGAAGCTGAAAAATTGCGGCGTAGTGTGGCGTCCTTTAATATTCGGGAGAGCGTTGTGCCCCCCCCCTAACCTATTTGCAGACTTGACGGGGTCGCCTAGGGCTGTATCGTGCTTATGCTTGTGACTTTTATTGAGTCCGGAGGAAGGAATGTAGTCTTGGGGCCGTGCACAAGGCTCTCACCCGTTTCGGTGCGTTTTACGGTGTACTACGGCGAGACAGCGTGAGATATCATGATTTAACCGGGAGTTGTTGGCAGTAGGTGTAGCGAGATGTTGGCCGAGCTGAAAGTGACCCATAAGACAGGAATTCCAACCATAGGATGTATAATCCTCTCCCTCGTTTGTTGTCATTCATTTTTTTTTGTCAAGTTCTGTTTTTTCCGAGTTGAATACGTCGTAGTTTATTGAAACGCGGCTTCCCTTTTGTGCATGCGTTCTGCGGGGGTGAGCCTGGCCGGCGAGGACCTGGCGTAACAAATCCCGGCATGGCTTGGGTGTGTGGAATAAGTTTCTTGTCTATATCTCCGGCGTTGGAACCAAGCATGCAGGTATCACCGGTGTCATCTCGATCTTGAGCCCGGGTTCAATTTTTCAAGTACCTGGTATTTAATTTCTTATATCTCGTCTGCCCGATATGTCGCTGGCGATGTCTGGCTGTCTGGGCCTTTTTTATGTATTTTCTCGGGGTTTGCTCTATTTTCGCGTTTGTGCTGATGTTTCTGGACCCCTCTTTGCTTTCGCTTTTGGTGTAGTGTATACCCTGTTTGACCATTGAAGGCGTCCGCGTCAGTTGACAGGTACGGATGCTCAATGTTCGGAGCAGAGACCGGGCAGGGTTGTTGAAGGTGTAGAAAAAGCAAACTGATATTTACGAATATAATTCGAATTCCCATGGCATTTTTGTTGGGACGTGGAAAGTGTCGCGAAGAAACGGGCCCCTTTAAACGAGAGAAGGAATTGAGTTCTACCACTCTGTCGAGGTTTAATATTCACAGAATGTTGGCGTGCCAGAGAGAGAGATAGAGAGTAACGCAGAGACAACGAGAGGTGGACACATAGAAAGCTTCCAGGGGTTTGCCAGCCGAAAGAGCTGATGTTAGTTGGGGCCTTCCCCCCCCCTCCCCCCTTTCTTTATTCGAAGGTGCAGTAAACGAGAGGCCTGACTTCCGTAGCCGGTACAGTTGCATAGTGAGGCGGAGAAAATGGTAGGGAGCCATATGGAGACTTGCCCACCTGAGACTGCTGCGTGCAGTACGAATAGTTGCCTTCATATGGAGGAAAGAGAACCCGCGGTGACTGTTTGGAGGGGACAGTACCTACCAGTTGTTGTTGGTCAGAGGGGTACAGACGCGATAGAAGGGGCACCAAACGGTATCTGCGGGAAACGTGGTCCGCCTGGTTGATAGACAATATTTATTTTCCCTCAACGTTTTATAACAAATAAGAACGAGGCCATTCGAAAGAAAGCAACAAAGGCAACGAGTTCTGTGTCTGGCGTGGATGTTGATCTATATCTCATGTTGTAAAGTGGTGGGCGGGACGGTATGCCGTTCAGGTAGGTCAATCTCATCCACGTTACCTGTACGGTCGTGCATACTCTACACTGAGAAGGAGATAAGTGCCGTCGTTAGTACCGCAGCAGAGTTCCGTGCAATGTGCGCGCAGTTTTGTTTTTTCGCCAAGGTTTTAGACAAGGAAAAACGTTTTCGGGGGTTGTGATGGACACCCGTGCGCGCTAACGCATATACATCCGTGTAGGTCCCTGTCGTCGATTCCCTTGAATTGAGGGAACTCGGCAGCACCGCTCGCAATGTGGCCGTAAAACTCGTAGGGTTAGTTAGCAAGCAGGTTTGGGGCACCTTTTCGTGGTGGAAGAGAGACAAGAGGTTCAACAGTTTGGTCTTGTAAATCCATTTCCGAGAGAGCTGCTATGATTGCCAACTTTGAAACATAACAATTTTTTTTAGAGATAGTATGTCCTACTGTAAAGAGCAACGCATGGATGCTACCCTTGTGCGCCTGGCTGCGCCTGAGGGCTCTGCGTTCCGGTTTTATGTGGAACTTTGAGGTATCTTCCCGCACGCATCCGTGTCCATGTTCTGGTGGGGTGCGAACATGCCCTTCGCGCCTGTTCCTCCGTTTCTGTGGCCGCAGCCCGGCCGCCGAATATCGCCTAACCGCTGCAGCACAACAACAGTGTGTGGCAATCTGATGTCGCCTGCTTGTACAGTCACCAAGCATCCGCAGGGGATGAAGTATAGGCAAGCTTCGGTGCCCCACCCGCAAGTCTTGCGTTCGCACCAGCAGGAGAGATGTGTGGCTTTGATTGTGCCGGAGCGGGCGGGCTCCAAAAAGTGTTTTCACGGCCTGAATGCTTTCCACCTCTTGCCGGCACGGGATGATGATGTGCATGGCATTGACGAGAGTCGAGCTGTCATAGCAAATATACATGCTGAACCTTCTGAAGACTCATTGCACATCGTGCTACCGAGCGTCCCAACTTGAAGTCTACGGCCACCCTCTGGCAAGTAAAAACGAAATACGCAAGGGATTCGGGGGAACTGAGACCCGGAAGGTACGTCCAAGTTCCTCCGAAACCGTTCAAAGAATCGTTTGCACGTACGACCCTTGGGCATTCCATTTCTCTGACACCCCCTCGAAATCTCTACGAAGACGCCCGTGAGCTCGAACGTATGTATTCTCCGGGTCTCAATACCCAGGACCCCCTTGCGCGTTCCCGCGCTCCATATCCATACCCCCCACTCCAAACCGCTGCAAATACGCCAATGAAAACTTCGAGTGGCTGGCAATACAATTGCTCCGCTCGCTTCCCCTCCTGCTCTTTCCTGCGATGGCTTGCCTCCTGAATACCCCCCCCCACGACACCACCGTCTACCACAAGGTGTTACCTGTGATCAACATAGCATATGGATGGGGACAACAAATAGCTTTATTGTGCTATCGCAAGGTGTCTGCTGTGATAAACATAACATACGGACGGGGACAACAAATACCTTTAGACTGTTGTGCTATCGTGACACACAGCAGAATAAGTGTGCAAAGCGAAATTTGTGGGCTACACCCTGCTACGTACCACTATTACTTTTGCTCATGTCTCCAATGCAATTAACTCCAACAACATATCAGTCCCGCTTCTTCGTAGAATTCTGTACGCTGGGAATGAATGCGTTCATCGTCTGAGATCCGTGTGTTTTCTTGTTTTCTTTACAGCTGTTGTTCTTACACAGCGGTTACTGCTGTATGCTCGGCGGAGGTGAGTCGCGATAGCCACAGGTGTGTGTGTGTCTTTTCTTGATTACCAGATAGATATTCGCCATGAGATATCGGCGCCAGCACACGAGATGTCGGCGCCAGCACACACCCATACACCCTGTTTTAGCCCGGGTCGGGACAAGTGCTGCAGTGCTGCGGAAAACAGAGTGCAAGGGAGTTCAAGGAGCAAGGAGTGCGGAGAGGGGAGCCGCGAGCCGCGGGCCGCGGAGCCGCTGGCAGGGAGAACCTGCTTTCCTGTCAGAATTGACCAATAAATGAGATTGAATTCCCGAGAAAAAACGGTTCGGGAACGTCGCGCGGCGAAACCCACCTCCTCCATGATCCCATGGATCCATGATCCCATGTCCAGGGTTGTCTCTTGGCGAATTTGGCGGTCGACGGAGACGAAAACACACGCAGAGACCGGCACGTGCGAGGTGAGGACCGTGCACCGGGAGGAAGGCAACTTGCTGGCCCTGGTGGAGAGAACGCTGCGTCGTTTCCAGTGACTGGCGGAGTCTCAGGCCGATCCTGGTTTGTGCGTTTGCAGCGCGTTGTTACGTTTTGACTCGAGAGGGTCTCCGTGGACTACTGTGTACATGTAGTATAAGAGCAAGTGGAAATCATGGGCCCCATCAAGCTCAAAGTTTCCACTCTTCAGCACCAGTACTTCGCCGGGAGCGTGGTCAAAGGAAGTGTCGAAGTTCAGGTTTGCACGGTGAGTTTCTCAACACCAAGCGATTGCAACCACTTGTTGTCCAAAAGCGAAGTGCTGGGAACGATTTGGTCCCCTAGCAGGCTGGACAGTGAAAACCTTCGATCATCGCTTTTGTTGAAAAGCATGATGATTACAGGACGACCAGTTAGCTCTACTGGCTGTAGTCCAGTAACCATCGTGTTTTTGAACACGCGGCAGGAACGTGTTAATTAAGTCTACTTCGCCGACTGGTACAGTCCAGTGGTCATCGTGCTCTTCAACAGGCGACAGGAAAGAACGTTGTGTTTTATCAAGTCTACTTCATCTGTTTTGATGGATGCTGACAAGTTGCACCTTCACATCTCTTACGACAAAATATATTACGTGGGTTTGGGGGGAAATACAATATTTTGAGCGAAAGAGGCAGGCCCCAGGACTTTCTACAAATACACGGTTGGTTGAGGCAAAAACAGAAGCTTCTTCAAAGATGCAGAAAAACGTCGACGATATGTTATGCATGTATTTTGCTTTGAAAGCTTGTAAAATATTCTGGTACTATTTTCCCACCTCCATTGTCGGGCAGAAAAACAACAAGGAATCTTCTGCGGATGAACTCAAGCTTCGACTGGTCGGTCACGTCAAAACAGCGGTTGATTACTCGACCGACAAAGGAGAAGAAACAAAGATGGCCCGCGAAGACAAGGAGATACTGTCCTACGATGTGCAGCTTGGATCGTTCGGTGGGAAGGCAGCCAGTGGGGTCCACAACTTTCTCTTCTCGGTCACCCTCCCTGCGGGCTTGCCTCCCTCGATGACGGTATCGCCCATTCTGACGGTAAGATTTGAATCACTCTGCGAAGCAACACCAACCTTTGTATTTCGACGCCGCATCACTCTGGCCACGCACAGCAGTTACAGGCGTTGTTTTCGTTAAACCCAAGATTCCCTTGTGCATGCGGGATGTTTTCTTTATTGTATCGTTTTTAAAAAGGGACACGGCGGGGAGGGTAGCTGCTCCATTGAGTACGGTTTCGAAGCACACCTCCACCGCCCAGGACTTCTAAACTTTGATGTCAAGGACAACACAGCACTGAAAGTGCTTGGTACACCACAGCCAGCCGGCGCCGCGCTGCCGGTGATGGCTGGGCCGGCAACACAGCCCGTTAAATTTTGTTGCTGTTTTAACCGCGGAAGGTTGGTGTGGTTGGATGATGTGATGGGCTTTATTGTAATTACGATATCTTTTTTTTGGGTGCAGGGGGCGTACGAGCTCAGGATGGATTAAGAACTGATTTACGAGGTGGGACTATTGGGTCATACCCATCGGCGGATACCGTACAATGATAGCTTCTCTCGATGGGAAGTGGACTCCGATTTCTGTTGTTTGGCATTCCGGTGCGTTCACCACCAATATCCTACAATGTGCCATTTTCAAGTTCTTGCTTCTCGAAGGGCTGCGTCATGCCCCCACTCCCTCTCCCCCCTTTCGTCGTTTCTTTTCGACACGCAAGCATGAGTATCGGCTTCCGCATGAACGCCTCGACGGTCGGGCCCGACGACTTCGTTTCGCTGGACGTGGTTGCGCGTAACAACAGTAGTTCGAGGGTGAACCAGATGCTTATCGAACTCAAGCAGGAGACGAAGTGGAACGCCCATCGCCACCATGACAAGAGGACCCGAACTATTGCATCCGTAGTGGTGCCGGCCTCAGAGCTTGGGGAACTGCAGTGGGCCGCAGGGCCAGGCACCGAGCGAGGGCAGAGTGTCGCGGTCGTGGAAAGCAACGCCCGCCAAGACCTCGAGCAACAACTCTCTGCCGGGAGGAGCACTAGAGTTGAGCTCAAAGTCCCCGGCAACGCTTTGCTGACCACCCAAGCTCCAAATATCAGCGTCAGCCACACAGTGGGCGTAGTGCTGGACACCCCGTGTTGTATCGGGGCCCCGGCTGTGTGGACGCCATTGTACTTACAGGTTGGAGCTGGAGGGACGGAAGTTCAGCCTGGGGGGGGCTCGGTCGTGCTGGCGCAGGCCGCGCCGTGCCCCTCTCCGCAAACTATGCCATATCCCGCGGGACCAACGCAGCCCTCGCCGTACCTCGCTCCGCAGACTCCGCAGTATTCTACTGGGCCATATGGCTCAGCGCAGACCGTACCGTACCCTACCCCGCAAGGTGCGACATATGGGGCCCCGCCTGAGGCTTCTCTCGGCTACACGCCAGGCATACAGTGCTACCCTACCCACCAGGCTGTCGCTGCGGTGAAGGTGGATGAAAATGGAAGAGTGATCCCTCGGGTGGTGCCTCATGGAGGAGGATGACGACGGCCGCCTGCCTTTCTTTTCAACCTTTTCTCTCGTCCGAACCTTCTGTATATGGCGTCGTTTCTCGGTACAGTGGAGACAACAGTTCCTCACTGATCGGAATCCAGGGCTTTGTGTTTTCAGGGAGGTCTGCTGGTTTGGGAGTTGCTTGTCGCGTCGAGTTTGACCTGGTCCCACGCAGGAAAAAACGCTGAAGAGAGCCGCAGGGAAGAGAGGCGGGGTCCACCAATCGTAGAAAAGGGTGTGAAAACATTCTTCTTTTGTACGACGACGGCGGCACTACGTAGGCTACCCGGCGAGCTATCCTGGAATGATCGTGAAGTCCTTGAACTGCCTTGCGCCCGGCATATTGTAATACGTATGTACTGTTAGTCTAGCACCTGAACTGGTCATATAGGTTCGCCTTTTCACAGTGTAACTGCCATCGCAGCCTACAACATTCCGGCACGAAACCTGGTATGTCGTCCCTATGGGTGCCCATTCCAAATCGTTGCGTTGACGGCGTTTGGCACAGCCTTCGCGGATGGCAGTCTTACGGTAGAACTCGCTGCGGGCCCCCGGCGTCGAGATTGCAGGCCCCTGCATGTGCAGGAACGTCCAACCATCGGGAAAACTGCTCGAGACCAAGGTGTTGAGACACACGCATGACAAACAAAAACCTGACCTCACCTTGTGTCGGTTCGAAAGAGGAGGCGGAGTGGAACCACGAGATCGTAGCGAGCACCAGCCCTCAAGAGCGAGTATTTTAGTGACATGACGTCTTGGTAAATACAGAAAGTAGGCCCTAAAAGAGCACCAAGCTCCAAGCACGGCGCCAGTGTCGACACAATGGTCGGCACGTCGGCACCGTGCCGTCTTTGTGACCTCAAACGGCGCACGAAGTCGGCACTGTGAAGTCGTCGTGATCTCGAACGATACACGAGGTGCCTTGCGCGATCGCGTTGTGCGATCGCGTTGTGCATGGTGGTCATGGTCTCGGGTTTTGGGTGAGTGCGAACACGTTGTGCCCTATGATCTCGTCGATCCCTACCAGCGAGGTATTCCACACATATTCAGATGATCTTGCTGACGAACGAAATGAAGGTGGAGTGAGGGGGGGGGTGAAAAGGCTGTCGAGGGCGAGACTCAGAGGCAAGCCAAGCCGGACATACATTTTTGGGCGGCTGACGTCGTCTCAAATCGTCACTGGGAACGCCAGGTAGGCACAAAGTCTCGCGGTTGCACTTCGCTTCATTCAGGGCTTCCTCACACGACGCGCCAGAACCCAAACATAAAACACAACATCACCACCACCACACCAAAGCAGCCACTCGCACGAGCTGCGTTGGTCGGCCGCTGCTACGGCACGCTACATTGATCAAGCAGCCCCGGGTCGCTTGCCGAATGACTATGGGCTCGCTGTGGCTTTCGTGTTGGAGAAACTGAGGGTTTCTTCTTGAAAACGCCTTCAGCTGTGTCCGTTGAGTCGTGGATGTATCCCCCGGACTACGACCTTCTACGTGCCAGCACTCCCAAGGCCGCTGGAGGATCTTGGCTGTCATTACATTTGGTAACGTGGTCTGTTCAGAACGGTGACTTTGCAGCACAAAGTTAATCATTACACCGCCGTGTGCCTCCATGTTTGGCGGTGTACGGATAAAGTGTTGTCTCTCGCTGACATGCTGCATGTGTGGCTGATGAAGGAGCAACGAAGATCGACAGCAGTATGGTAGGGATGTCGGATTCCGAAGCAACGAGAACGAAGTCTGGGCCGCCTCATGGACAGTGATATGCTCGGAGAAGGAATTGTGGAATCAGGGAAGCTGTGCGTCCCACTGGGCCCTTCCGTTAAAAACAACACAGCATTACTCATCGCTCGCTGTCAAAAAACAATGTTTTTCTCGGACTGCACCTCCCAGAGCATCGCAGGGGGATAGTCTGGACCTAGTGGGTTAGTCACAGCCGGAGCTAGCATACGAGGGGCGTGTCTAGATATCTCTGTGAGGGGGAGCGGGTGTGTGGGAATGGGGATTACGTAGAAAATATCTCTCCAACCAAATAATGTATCAACGACACACCAACAAAAATTCTTCATGCTCACGAAACTTGCAATGATTCACACCATTCTCACGTGTGTATCTGCGAATCCAACAATCTTGAGTTCCCGAAAACTTCCTGAGTGGCTGAGATAGCAACTTCCATCGCGGTTTCTCCAACAAACAATAGTACGTTGCTTGATCAGAACCCATTTCTGCAATCGTCCATTCAAGTCGATGCAGCAAACCTCAGCTTCTCTGTGGCCAGGCTGTGGGTCTGAATCTCTCCGTGGGTGAAAAAACTCGCAACGTAGAAGGCACGTTCCATGACTATACACAAAAGAAATAATGGACTGCTGAGCCCGTCTCGCGCTGAGCACCACGGGTAACAAGCACCTCAGGAGGAAAGGTGGAGGTAAAACAAAGACTGTCTTGTTTTACCTTCCTCCTGTGTGACCCCCGTTGGTGTATCAAACGCTTACCGAAAGTTGTTGGCTGGTGCCAAGCTGTAGCGCTGGAGGAGCGCTCTCGGGTGGAAAATAGCCACCCTACTGATTCATACGGGCGTTAACAGCAGGAAGTCCTCGAGAAGAACGTCTTACGCTACATGGCAGAGCAAGCCGGCCTCCCTATTCGCAAGATACGCTCTGGGCCGAGGGACGTGATGAACATCTAGGGTTGAGCTCAGAGTTCGGCGTGGAGGCCGCCTTCGGCTGGGTCTGGGTTGCTCGGCATGGTCCTTTCGCTTCCTACCAAACGTGGGCAGAACGTTGCCGGAAAAAAGAAAACTCAACCACCAGCACGAAAACATCCTGGAAAGTCGTCTCCTTGATTCATGAAGCCTAAATCGCAACGGGAACTTCCAGAGATCAGAACCGAGCTCCGGGTACCTACAGGACACAGCAGGCACGCGGATCCAAACCGCTGGACCGGTTCGATCAACCGCTGAACAGCAATGGGAAAACCGACGACCGCATACAACAGCGATCAAGATCCGAATGAGCTCCCGGTTCCCGTACCGGAGGGGTCCCCACTGCCTATGCTGCCGATCCCGAGGAAGAACGAAAGCAAGTACACCGCCAGCCCGAAGGCGTTGGTGCTGACCGTCGTCTTGGACCCGCTCCCGAACATTCCGAAACCCGCCGACTTTCGGGCCCTCATTACCGGCGACTTGCTGCCAGAATAGGCCCCGAAGACAGCTGCGAAGACCGCGATGAGCATGAACACCGCCGCCGTGGGGTTGATGGCGAAGAAGATGAGCGACACGACGAGGAGGATGAAAACCAGAATCTTGTACGGCTTCTGCTTGATTAGGGCCTGCGGCGGAGTCTGGTTCCTGAAAGGCTGGGCTGCCAGCGGGCTGGTGTTGGAAGTCGGCATGCGAGTGGGGGGTAGGGGGGGGGGTGAATGCGCTTGTACGTTGAAACTACGGGGGGGGTAGCCTGTTCCGGTCGTTTATGCGAACGCAGTGAGACCCCAGTAGCATGGATTTGTACGTGGAAGGGGCATCTTGAATTAGCATGATTGTGATAACACGTCAGCATGCGCGTGCGAAGTGGTCCAATCGGAACAAGAGACCCAGAGGGTGAAATTCATGGCGGCCGTTTGGAGGGAAGAGTCTACCTCCCTCCCGTCTCCCTCCTTTCTGTTCCGCTTCTTCCGTATACCATCTGCTGCATGTTATGCGCCTCACTTTGGGAGGCTCTTGTGCGAAAGCCAGTTGTTCGCCTTGATGGTAATGTTGGTGTCGATGGCGCGGGCCATCTCGTACAGCTTGGAAGCAGGAGTTGAGGCGAGGGCCATAAGAGTTGTCTCTTGAACGGAATTGCTTGCGCAGTCCAGGTAGCTGTTCTCGTGTAAAGCGTGCCCCACGGGAAAGGAAGAAACAGAGGAACGAAGGAACGGGGTGAGAGAGGGGAGAAGGGAAGTGTTTGCGGTGCCATAAACATGATGAAGATTACCGCGGGAGATATTCCGTGTAGTTGCGGGTGGTTAAGGGGCAAAGACGACGTGACACCGGGTGTTTCATTAGCTATATCCTAACACACACACGACGTGTAGGGTGAAAAGCGACAAAAGTGTTGATAATCCGATACTTGTTCCTCTTAAGCACAAGGGTGCGCTGACAACAGACAGCAACCAATTGATCAAATGTACAGCCCACAGAATCCCCCCCCTCCGGCATTTTTCGCAGTATAAGCAGTCGCTCGCTTACCGAATGACCAGGGCGTGGCGCATGAACCGCGTCTTGTCCCAGCGCGTCATACAGCTTCCCGGGTCGTGATCTCCGAGCGTCTGTGTGACGCCGTTAATGTCCTTCTCGGACTTCAATGTGCCTCCCGTAGGACAGCAGAGTACGTCAACTGAAGGGTGGGGGAGGGCGAGGATGGGCATGAGGTCGGGTTGATGGAAGGCGAACACTGTGTCCAACGCTTTGTGGCCCAAGAGGAGTACGGAGCGGCGCACACCAACGCCCTGCAACACACACGCGTTCGAATAGTTGTTGTTGTTGATGTTGTCTTCACATAAAATCCGTTCCGTTCTTTCTAAACAGTACCTTCTCCTGTCCGTACTAGTCTAACACATGACGGGGTTGATTCCAGTTGTCACGGGCTAACTTACCCAAAAAGGAAGTATACGACAACAAAATGGACCCGAAGGGTCCGCAAGTCAATAGAAATCAACGACAGACAGTCTAGGACGCTCCGCTCGTCTCTACACGCTATGCGAGGTAACCATAGACTGGGAAAAAAAATAAAAAGATAAAGATAAAGTAGAGAGCAGAGGATTGAAAGGGAAAGAAAAAGACACAGAGAAAGGGACATTCCAGAGCCACTACCGTAGCGACAAACAAAACAACGATGCTGTGAATATAAACGGGATTGTACGAGACCGCCGCGCAAAACCTTGCTTCCAGCTTTGGCGCACAACTAAATGCCCCCAACGACTGCAACAACAATGGCTGCGACCATAAATGAAGATTCACGCCTTGACCGGCTCCGGCGGGGAGAAGGCGGAGAAACGTTCGGGCGCTCTAAAACTCACGGAAGTCTGTGAAGGTACAGGTGGAGGTCTGGTAGGAGGTGGTGAGCGTCTGCTGCACGAAGACCTGGAGGACCTGCTCGACGGGAGGGTTCCGCACAATAAACGATGTCGTGACGCACAACCACCAATAAAAGCCCACAAAGACGAAAGCAAGCGGAGGGAGCAGCCACGACGATGTCAGAACGGAGGAACGTGGCCCGCACAAAAAACAGCAGCTCGATGGTGGTGTGTAGGTCATGTGGAACACCCGGTGCGTCACAGAACGAGTGGCCCACAAACATACGACTGTGTCACCTTGCTGGGTGCGTGGAGTACACCACGATCGGCGTACGGTAGCGCATGTAGCACACATGCTTCCCCTGTCCCTCAGGCGCAGTACTGCTGTACCTCTTTCTTGCTCAGGCCCTCAACCGTACCCCGTTAAAAATGTCGTAATTGGAACATCGACTTCTTGGGGTGTTTTCGGGTTGAAACCGGTCTACAACAGTTTTTGACGTTCGCGCCACGTCTACCAAACGGGGCAACGGGTGGGAAAAAGAGGTCGGCCCAGAAGGGCCGTGTTTCGGCCCTACGTAGTCCGGGTGCTAACGAAACATTCGAAAAATAGAACAGGACTGTGGGCTGTCATCGCCGTCCTTGGGATTCGATGCTAGACGATCCCAGACCATAGGGAAGCCCTATTATATTTGTGCTTCTTCACCATTTCTAATCCCCTCCCTCTCCGCCCCGCCGATGCTCCACCGAATTCCTAACCATCTGACTTCTCGACAGAGGTTCCCAACCTGAAAAAACGCATTGTACATGGGTCAGGAACTGTTTTGTTTTTTTCTGTTTTGGCCTCCCCCTACTAGAGCCACCACCCGGGTTTTCGTCGCTTGGCAACGACGTTGTAAAACGAGCCGCCCCCCCCGGGTCGGGGTTGGGTTTTCGTCGCTTGGCAGCGATGTTGTAAAACAAGCCGATCACTTCGTGAGCTCGGCAACCAGGTTACCGGTTTTTTTTTGCCTTTGTTTCGTTTTTTTGCGGTAACCATGAATGGTGGTCGAGTAGAGTATGTTGTGCGGGGCCGAGAACCCTCACTCCGCGCAAGGGGGATAATCGCACCACGTTGTGTTAAATTGGTCAAGCACCCTCGAAGCAGTTACACAATGCTTACAACTGTCTGTGGAGTGAAAGCACCAGAAAATAAATTAAGTCATATGCGGAAGTCATCCGTACGCAAGGAAGTAAGTACAAGATGCCGAACACCCTTACATGTAGCAGGATGCAGCACACCCTTGATGCAACTCGCCGAATACCTCACGGCGCTTCGCGCTTGGTGATGTGAGAGCCTGGTCCGGTAAGAACCCGGCGTGTTCCGTCCCGGTTTTGTAAGGATGCGAGGTCAATGGTCTAACGACCACGGCATGCACGACTATTATGAGTACACCCCCCTACTAGAGCCAAGTGACCCAACTTCTTGTACCGAGTTCGCCTCCGATATGGTCTGTAATCAACAACGCACAATACCACAACAAGCCAAGGGTAGCTACCACAACAACTTCACCAAGAGCCCACCTCAGACGCCTTGATGGACGCGTAGTATGAGGTCCATTTCCGGCGCGACCAGCGGTCATGGAAACATGTCAGCAGCGACGCCAGACAGTTCATCTTCGGCAAGCCGACCTCCGCCGAATGGTTCGCCTGGAGACAAAAGGGGATGGGAGAGCGGGAGGTGTACATTTCTCATGAATCATGTGCGGAGGGGGCTGTACTCACAGTATCACGGACGTCGGCCATCGATGACGCCGAAACCCTTCAGGTGTGAAAAATTGCAGCACGCGGGGTAATCTGGGATTGACGCAAGACATTACGAGAGGGAGCCGTCCACGACGGTTCGTGGTTGAAACGCTGACCGTGGTCATTCTCACATTTTCGTGGCCCATATCCCATCAAGAATCGCCGCCGGCGGTCGCATCCCATCCATCAAAGATGTATTTTCGGGCCTATGCCACCAATTGGCACCATCAGAGATACACGAAAGAAGCTTCCGACGGGTTATCGTTTTGCAATGAAGAGGGCACCGCACTGCACGCTACACCACTTTACCTGGGTGAAAACGAGGCGTTTCTCGTTCGTGAACACCACGCGGCATTGCTGGGTCACTGTGTCGTACAGCCCCGGGGCATCCTCCATCCCGGCCAAGTCCAACACGTTCACGGCGTGCTCGCCTTTCATCAAGGCCGAGTCGTGGAGGTCGTCGAGCGTCTGCACGCTGTCCTTGATAGCGTCCAGATGCTTCCTGGCGCACTCGACGTCCCAATCTTGGAGGTCTCTGTTTTGTCCAAAGTAGAAGGGGACAGCGAGGGAAAGAGAGGAGTTGTGGGGGGGGGGAAAGGATACGGTGGGGTACCGCCACATTCTGGTAGGACTTTCTTGGCACCCCCCAACACCCCCTTGTGTTTTGGTTGTTGATGAGGCGTACGGGCAGCTTGTGTACATTGTTTTCGATTGCGAGGCGTGTAGTGGTGTGTTCACTGCTTGGGTGTTCCCTGCCGCATGACCATAGGGTCTTTGCGCATTCTACTACCTTATTTTTTCTGTTTCTGTAATCGCGCTATTGTAGATTCGGCGGAAGTAAAGTGAGCAATGAAAAAAAGCCAAACGTGGTGCCATCTGGCAGATTGCGCCCGCTCGGGTGCTCGAACGCCCTTCTTGAGGTTTGCATGTACTGCGAGGGCTATCTCAGTTCGCCGGCAGTGGCGGCAAGCTTACGCTAGCATGCCTGTCGTCATCGACAGCATCTTCGCGCTGCTCGGGTCCAACTGTACCACTTTCGGGTCCAGTTCGGTGTCATCGTTGCCCTGTTTCCGCCGTGTTTGCGGCGAACGCCGAGTCCGCCCATCAGACGGTTCGAGAAAAGAGTAAGTTAGTTGCAGCAATGGGGAAGAGATCATCGAAACGCGCCGACTGACTGCTGCTGTATCGACGTTTTTTCCAGTGCGTGGGCACGTTGGTCAGCTGAGGGGGTAGAAAACAAGCTTCGGCTGCGAAAGCCCGGCGTCCCCACCTCGGCACCGCCGCCGCGGACGACCCGCAAATCAAGCAAGCCTACCAGTGACGCCAAGGTAACCGGTGGTGTCAACCACAGCAAAGAACGAAGAATACATCCAGACACGACCACAGGCCCGTGGCGGCAGGCAGGTGCTCGAGTCTAGTGCCTTTAGATTCTTAAACCTAGATTCGCAATCCAACGCGCAACGTACGCAGCAGGGGCATACGAACGTACCAGCAGTGCCTCTCGCTGGCGGTCGAGCTGATCCCCCCTGAAAGGGTACCCTTCGGTGTGGAAGTACGGCTTGTCAATTTCTGCTCCATTCGCGGCCGGTGGCGTCCCCTGTCGTGCAATCAAGCAATTGCACACATTGATTGAGGATACCGTATGCAACATCACACATGGAACATACGAATGGAATACGTGTTGACTGCACCAACACACAAGAAAGGGTTTGTTTGCGCATCTGTATTTTCTTGTGAGTCGAGGGTAGTCGTGTAGCATGCGTAGTCGTATTCGTCGGGGTTTGTCGAAGGAGGTCGCGAGCCGTTCGTGGCGCCAGTTCTTCCACCAGACCATTCACCTACCTCTGGCCCTTGTGTTTTGGGAGCAACCAGTCGACCATAGCATGGACAACGGCCGTTATTGTGCTCCGGGGGAAGGGGCAAGATCACGACCAAAGACGACCACAGCACTAACATGGAACAGACTCGTCGCCCCCGCCCCCCTCTCCTCCGTCCCCACGTCCTCTCGAGGATTCCTTGGCGCTTCCCCTTGAAACAGGTGTCCGTGCCACAGCAGTTCGGTCTCCCTTACCCTTTTTTCGTCTTGTGGGTGCGGTTTCAAACCCCATTCTTCGTTTATTCGAGGTTCAGAGACCGTACCGGCTGGCACGCCAAGCCAATACCGATAGGAGCAGCCTGGTGCCCAGAATAGATGGGATGAAAACGCACAGAACGGACCACGAAGAAGGAGGAAACTGACAAAGAGATAAATATGGTATGCATGTAACATCGATGCAATCTGGTGGGGACCGCTGTCGCTCAGGCGATTGATAGCCTTAGGGTCACGATCTGGAAGAAGGCGTGTTCGGACTGATGGGCGAAGAGACCGCTGGCCTGGTCAGGCGTCAGGCTATTTGGAGGGTAGCCGGCAGTGTGGTGTGTGGGGGTTTTAGGACCGCATACAGAACGGGCCCGAAATTAAGAAAAAAACTGTTACGAAAATAAGGCTCAACGTTTCACGAAAAATAAGAAAACAGGGCTAAGAAACTCAGCTCAATCTCGGCCACAACATAAGGAAATGTCCCAATAAGAAACATGATCGTGCGATACCCCCCAGATATATTGTAAGAAACACGGGGTTGCTGGGGGAGCGTACATATCCAATAACAAACGTCCCACTGATTGATGCTGCTGCTGCCATGCTCCCACCCCCTACCTAGCTCCTCTGTACTTTGTAATATTTACAAGGCTTTCGGCGGCTTACGCCGCCACGCTGAGAGAAGCGTACCGCAAGACGCATGTTTCTTGGCGTCTGGTAAACGATGGTATGCGGTGGCTGTGAGATTCCCAGCAATTTGTTCCCGCAGTATGCAGATGTGAGAAATGATGTACCACATAGGGCGAAGTCACACACTGAACGTGCGTTGTGAGCAGTAGTGAGCAGAAACACGTACTTAAGCATACGGCACGACACGGCTTAACAACTAAGTCACACGGTGCACACTAAGGCAACCGTAAATTAAAGCACGGTCCACGCAACGACACGACACGGCGTAGTCAACAACACGGGCGCCACCCAACGCAAACCACACGAAACGGCATAGTCAACCACGCAAACTTCATGACAACGGCAAAGTCACACACTACATACGACACGACATGGCATAGTCATCCTGACAACACGACCACGGAAGAGTCACACACTAACGGCAGCACACATACGCACAACACGCGACGAGCCGCAAACCCAGAGACTTTGAAACCAGCAACTATCCTCGTGGGATGCATAGTGACGCATACGACACGACATGGCATAGTCATCCTGACAGCATGACCACGGAAAAGTCACACACTAACGGCAGCGCACAACGACGATCTGCTAACCCATCGCACGGACTATGCCTTTTTGGCCATTAACCAGTCCTTGCTTAAAGTTAAGGTTCCTTGTTATCATTACCATACAGTTCAGCTTTAGGTTCAAGACATGAGGCGGAACGCCTGCAACGTCAATTGAGTTGAGGTCAGCAGCCATGACGAAGTCGAAGGCATCGGCATTGCAACTGTCAGGGTCGACAGTGTCGCAACTGTTCACGGTACAGAGATCACCAGACAGCAGGTGAAGGATATGTTCATTGATTGTGTCTATGGTGTCATTGGTAGAGGACAGTATTGCTCTCGACTTGAACGTGCTGGGGTCTGCATGTAGAATATCGGGGTAGACGAAGTTGATCAATTCTTCGAATGATTCCGTATTCTCAATGACAAACGGATCAGGTGGCATTGCTGGGATGTCATGAATGTATGCTAGGGCTCCGATACCAATATCGCGTACCAAGGCGGCGTAGGGAGCATCCTCGCGATCACGTTGGGAAATGGTCAGGCGCATTCTATGGACATACGGCCACAGTGGGCTTGAAATGATGGAAGCATCAACTGTTTCTGCCTGTCCGAAAACACGACGACGGGTCCTATTGACGCATGTCGCCACTGAGCAAAACAGTTTTGCCGCCCATTAGCAGAGTGTTCCCCATGAGGTCCTGTAGCGTAAGGTCAAGCGCCTCGACGGAATATCGGTGGCTCATCGGAATTTCGTCCCAAACGATGAGATCACATTTCCGCAAAACTTCTGCTCGTTGCGATTCCGCGGAGATATTGCACATTGCGCCGGCGACATTTTGAACCGTTGTGTTGGGTGACGTTGTGCACGACGTGGTCGTAAACTAAAAGCTGTTCGTTGGTAAGGTTAGGTAGGTGCTGAGCAGCGAAAACACGCATCTGTTCGACGTCGAACATATGTCTAAACCGTAGGTACTCCGTGTCTAAATGAATGACTGTTGGAAGTCCGGCGATGGCGTTAGTACGTCCATGGTGCTGCAATCCAAGGTCGATTTCCCGAAGCGCTGCGTTGCTCGCTTCGATGGAGGTCATGGACATACGTAAGTCTTGGGTGAAGTCTCGTTTAAAGTGCTCCCATAGAATTCGAGCAGGTGCACCGTCAAGAATAAGGGTAACGAATAGTTGGCGCAGCTGCTTACCTGTATTGAATATTACAGCCTCTTCCAAACAAACCTTGTACTCTTCGTCATGTTTGACGATGCCCATGGCTCTAGCAGCGTCTTGGAATGTTTCATGAACGATTTCGTTGTGAGTCCTGAGTAATTCAAACGATCTTGCCGGTTTGTGGTGCAGAAGTTGGCGCAGATAGAAGACGTCCCCTTTATCTGGTGTAATAGCCGTAACACGCGCTACGTGCTTGTCTGAAGTGCGAGGTGTAACATAATAGCCGAATCTGTCGCGAAAATGCGTTCGTTCCTGTTTTCCGTGACTTTCGATTTTTGTTGACAATGTACTTCTCGTTGTAGTCCAGGTACGTGAGGGAATCGAAGTCGGACTCGGTAGGTCTTCCAAACTACAGCATGAGGTCGGATTTGGTCTGTTCGGCTTCCGACTTCTGTTCGTCCCTTGTAAGAGTTTGATCGACAATGACGTGTTGTTCATCGGGAAGGTGCAAGCGAAGGGACGTGACGGAAGGGTGGCGCTCCATGATGTGGAAACCAAGTAATCGCCACGCAGCCTCTGCCGCTGACACGTATCTTGCCGATCGGTAAGCTTCAATTTCGTCACCACCACAAACAATCTTGGCCTTGATAAAGTCGGCGCCTTTCGTGATGTACTTGTAAATATACTTGACTATGGCGTTGGCGGTGCAGACGTCAAAACACATGTGACAGTTGTATTTGGAAAGGAGCCAAATGTTGTACGGTGCTATCCATTGATTGGTGGCGAATGATTCGATAAATTTGCCGTTCACTCTGTGTGTGTAGGGAAATATCTCTCCGGTATCTCTACGACGGTACTCGGCTCTACCGGTCTTGCCCACAGCGGCTACGTCACGCCATGGTTGGGGATAGTTTTTGCCGCACATTTTCGATCTTCCTTCATGCACGGTGATGTGGGGT